GAATAGTATTAAAATGATAAATAATAAAGCAATTAGTGATGAAAAGTAATAAGTAATAAAAGTAATAATAATTATTACTTATTACCGAGTAATAGTAATAAAAAGTAATAGTAATGTAGCAGCCCTATTTACTAGCTCGATATCCTCTATCGATCGATGTATGAACGAACGAAATCGGAAGATATCACTTAATTAAGTTTCCTCTTAAGAAGTGGAAAGGAAATATTCCTGATCGCTTTTTAAAAAGTTTGTCAAATGATGCGGGGTTCAGATAACAAAACTAATGACAAAAGTATATCATGTCACTCATTAACAGTAACGCTTTTAAGGAAAAGATTAAACAGTTATGATCATTTATTTGTGGAAAACGCTAACTCGGTAAAACAATATTCTATTGGCATTTATAGTATAGTCGTACTTCTTGAATATCAATTGGACTTAAGGGATTTCTTTGACCAATTTTTACATTTGGATTCTTTGGAGTAATTGTTGGTTTACCATTTGAGCTAAAGGCTTTGTCATCATAATGCATTAAACTATTGTAATCATAAGATGTACCTTGTGTCGTAACCGTGAACATTCCGCATTTGTTAAAATTATGTTCTTGACCTGTATAATAGAAATCTTATTGATTGAGCATGGTTATTAAATATCGTAGTATGATATACTTTACCTGCTTTTACATTGTCAAGATTAATTGTAACATAAGAATCTCGATCTGGTATAGACTGTTCATGCCAAAAGCCTTGAAAAATATAGAACACTTGTTAGAAAAAATATATATTAATTGATGACAAATACAGTACATACCTAATGTATGCAACATTTCGTGCATTATTATTCCTTCATAAATACAACCTGATTTTGTAAGGTAATCTCCATTGTATCCCATCGCTGTTGTCCGACCTAAGTAACAAAATAAAAGCTTATCAAGTTTTTTGAGACTTATTTTCTAAAAAACCGAGATGCTAGTAGCTCCGAATTATGCTGACGAACCCTTCATACGAAGAAACCACACAGGATCGCATTCGTTCAGAACTATTACATTCCAGTGTGTTACAGGCACACTGAGCAAGCCGTTTTCAATGTGCAAAAACAGCCCAACATGATTCTCAAATCCAGTGTTCCCCGGGCACACTTTATTTTTTACGATGTACAAATCATCTTTTTCGCACTGAGACAACTTTCAATGCTGGATTTAGTTAGATTCCTAATGAGAAGTAGAAAATAAAACTTACGTTGCGTCCATGAATCAAGCCAAATAGTTGTATGATTATGACAATAAAAATAACTGCTGATGACATCATTTTCAGTATTATATTTGACTTCGATGTTTTTTGTCAATCAATAACACTGTGAAAGCAAAGTATTTTATACAAAACGATTTGTAAATATGAATGAATGTTATCATGAAGCCCACTCAGATATATTCAGATGCTTTGATTCTCATAATACTGTTATTGTCAGTTGATACAGTTGCAAAATAATTGTTTCTCTTTTGTACATTGTACAAGGATAAAACTGATGATTTAGGAGAATCACCGTAGATACTATGGATTCTGTCAAAAAACTGGAAAGAATTGCAACAATAACGTTACAAAATTCATGAAGAATTTTGACCACAGTTGACTTTCTGATACCGAACAGACAATCCTAGAAAATGCATTAGAAGCCAACTTACGAGGGAAAGATACGAGATACTTCCAGTTTTCATCTATTTCTTACACTAGTAAAGAAACAAGTACATTTTGTGTTATATACCATTTTAAAGCTCGTCAAATTTCCTACAAAGCTCTAGACTACACGGTTGGAAATAATATTTTTCCAGGGGGGTAGAGCTGAAACTACAAATGATATAAAAATTTATTATATATCAAATTAATGTTCATCTAAAATGGAATTGATGTGTACGACTGATATTCTGTATGACGATTATTGACTGTAGAACTATGGAAGTTTCTATCGAGTGCGTCATAATGATTAAAGTCTGGGTGTATCAGCGCTTTGAGTAAAAGTCTCGTAAGTTCAACAAAACAAACGCTTTTTCGATCGGATTTGTTTTGTTTTGATCAGGAATGATTGCTTTTCTATTACTAATTCTGAAATCAAAACATCGATCAGATTTTCCATATCTTACTTCGGCACATTGCTGAAAATGAGGAAAAAATTTTGAAACTTAGTTCTCCAGCCCACCATCTGCTCTAAAAAACATTTTTCACAGGCCAGAGAAAACAGCATGTTCAGAAGTACAAAAAGAACTGAGTTCTCACCTTTGCTACACTCTTTTGCGTGAATAACTACTGAAGAAAAAAATTAAGTCGAAAAAATACCAACTATACAAAGTTTTCATTTTTTTCGTCTTTCGTATAATTTACGTAGTTTCCTTGATTAAAGTTCTAAAATTAAAGTTTAGGTATGGTTTTGTAGAATATTTCGTGGTGCATCTTTTAAAAAAAGCACTAACCGCGAGATCCTGAACGTACACGAGAAAAATAGAAAATACTGAGAGGCTCATTCATTATGATGCACTCGATAGAAACTTCCATAGTT